AAAAAAAAAAAAAAAAAAAAAAGAAAAAGAAAAAGAAAGAAAGAAAGATAAAAGAAAAGAAAAGAAAATGGTACATGTATATGTAAATGTTAAAAGAAAGCAAAATTGAGTGAAAAGAATGGATACATAAAGGAAAAAAATGTGGAAAGGCAAGAAAAAGGGAGAAATTAAAGTGCAAAACATCAGAAAGTGACATAAACAAGAATTCATGCTAAATGTATCTTCCTTCAGGCTGCTATAAACAATTAACATAGGCTGGAAAATTAACATAAGCAACACACATTTATTTTTTACAGTTCCGGAGGGTGGTAGGTCCAAGATCAAGGCCCCTAAAGATCCTGTGTCTGGTGAGGACCTGCTTCCTGGCTTGCAGACAGAGAGAGAGGGAAATTTATTAGGGGAATCGATCCATGTGATTATGGAGACTAAAGAAGTCTCACAATAGGTTTCCTACAAGCTGGAGAACCAGGGAAGCAGGAAGCATGGCTCAGTTCAAATCTGAAGGCCTGAGAACCAGGGAGACTAATGGTATAATTCTCAGTTTGAGACAGAGAAGTCCTGAGAATACAAGTCCTAAAGGTGGGAGAACCTGGAATTCTGCTGTCCGAGGGCAGGAGAAGTAGGTGTCCCAGCTCCAGGAGAGAGAGAGATGAATTCAGCTTCCCTCTGCCTTTCTGTTCTACCTGGGTCCTTAGCAGACTGGATGATGCCCACCCACATTGGTGAGGGCAGTTCTTCCTTACTCAGTCCTTTGATTCAAAGACCAGTCCCTTCTGGAAACATCTCTCAAACATGATGCCCAGAAATAATACTTTACCAGCTCTGTGGATAACTCTTAACCCAGTCAAGTTGACACCTAAAATTAACCATCACAAACATACAAATAAATACATCCATAATGGTGAAATCCGAATTAATTCCATAAATGGTGCTGGTGTACTTACATTCAATGTTAACAGTGGGAGAGGCTGGGGGGAAGAGTTCAGAAGACCTTCCTATTCATTTATTTGGAAAACCTCCTGCGAATCTATAATCATTTAAAAAAATATGAAAAGCTTAATAAAAAGATTTTCTAAGTATTATCATAAGCTAATCATTTTAAGCACACCTTTATGGATTCTACAGACATAATTCTCTTAGGTATTTCTTTTTCAACTAATTCACATTTTACACACACAAAATTCAAGGAGGTGACACTGTGCTTTAAGAAAAAGGACATTCAGCCGGGCGCGGTGGCTCACACCTGTAATCCCAGCACTTTGGGAGGCCGAGGCGGGTGGATCACGAGGTCAAGAGATCGAGACCATCCTGGTCAACATGGTGAAACCCCGTCTCTACTAAAAATACAAAAAATCAGCTGGGCATGGTGGCGCGTGCCTGTCTGTAATCCCAGCTACTCAGGAGGCTGAGGCAGGAGAATTGCCTGAACCCAGGAGGCGGAGGCTGCAGTGAGCCGAGATCGCGCCATTGCACTCCAGCCTGGGTAACGAGAGTGAAACTCCGTCTCAAAAAAAAAGAAAAAAAAAAGAAAAAGGACATTCATGTGCATTTTAATGAAGTTTACAAGACTGAGATATGTCTTCCATATTTTAATGCTTTGTTTTCTTTTCAGATGACAAGTGATGTTCACAATTACAAAAATAATCATACAGCTCTTACTTTAATTATTTTTATCAGAAAAAAGAAATCAGAAGTGGAACACCAACCATCAGAGGTCAGAAAACCAGTGGCTGACATTTTCAGTAGGAAGACCTATTCAAGTGGTTGGAGTCATCTTTCTAAGTCTACTAAGCAGAATCTGTATTCACTGTTATGAAGCTCACTTAACCTAACTGGTAAAATTTGAGTGTTAAAGGAACTTTGGTCACCTACTAGTTCGATGAGATTTAACATCATATTTTTAAACTGTCCTAAGTCCAACTGTGCAGTGTGATGAGAGACTCTTTAGACAGATTAGAGCATCAGAATAGAAAGACCCAAAATAGACTCAAGTGCTATATGAGCACATAGTAGAAGATAAAATGCATATCTGTACAGATTTGTTGGGTTGCTTAATAAATGGTGTTGGGATATGTTTACCTTTAAGATATAAAAAGAAAACAAAAGGTAGCTGTCCCCCACCTTCCTGCAGGCATTGGGGAACATGGCAATTCTGCTCCACGCAGAGAAAGCAAGTAGAAGGGCTAGGCAGGGGCCACAATAACATAAGGGCTCATAATTTTGGAGGCTTTTAAGCGAAATCTCTATTTTTATATGAAATCTTCCAAATTTTAGTTGTTGGCAACCATGTCAAATATTTTTAAAACAGAGTGTGAAATGAGCTGTATTTAGTTTCCCAGGGCTGCCATAGGGAATGACCACAAACTAGGTGGCTTCAAACAGGAGAAATGTATTCTCTTATGGTCTGTAGTCAGGAAGTCGGAAGTCAAGGTATTGGCAGGGTTGGTTTCTCCTGGAGACTGGGGGAATATCTGTTACCTGCTTCTCTCCTAGCTTCTCGTGGTTGCCAGGAGCCCCAGCTTGTAGATGCATCATTCCATCTCTGCCTCCTTCATCCTGTGGCATTCTCCTTTCTGTGTCACCTGTGTCCAAATTTCCCTCTTATGAAGACACTGGTCCTTGGATTACGGCCCAGCCTATTCCAGTATGACCTCATTTTAACTTGATTACACCTGCAAAGACCTTATTTCCAAATAAGGTCACATTCACAAGTACCAAGGGTTAGGCACTAAACATATTCTTTTGGGGCACACAAACACACTACATAAGCAGAACAATCTGCAGGCTCAATCTGATCTAGGCTACCAGTTTATATTATCTGTTTGGTGGCAAAATAAATTCCAAATAGGTTAACATCGTTTGTATTAACAAGCATTAGAAAAATATTTAGCTAAATACTTGTACACTCAAGGAATACAAAAGGACTTTATAAGCATAACTTCAACATGTCAAATTTATTCAGAAGAAAGATTGATAAATTTGACAGATTTAACCACAAAAATATAAATATTTCTCTACTTTTAAAAAAATGAGTAAAGTAAAAATACAGACCAAAACTAACAATGTGAGAAAAGGTTAAATATAGTCTGTACACACACAATTAGACTTTCTTTCTATTAATTTAGAGCCCTCAAAAGAAAGATTGGAATAGGACCACAATAAAAAATTTACAAAAGAGCAAAGATGAATATTCCGCAGCTATGTGAAAACATGTTGAATGTGAGTAGTCATCAATGTGCCGCAAACGTGACAGCAATAACAAACCTTTTTCTCCCCATAAAATTGATGAAAATTAAAAATAAATCAACAAACAGATTCCCAGTGATAGCAAGAAAGATGGGGAGATAAAGGGACCATCATCATACACTGCCAGTGACATTTAAAATTATCTAATCTTTCTAGGGCCAATTTACCATCTGGTATCAAAAACCTTAAAAATGTTCATCCTCTCTAACCAATGCAATTTTTCTTCTACACATACCCTAAGTAAATAAGTGAGGAAGAAAAACGTTTGAACAAGGCTATTCGTCTGTATTAACTTGGGCTACCATAACAAAATAGCAGAGACTACATGGTTTATAAACAGCAGACATTTATTTTCTTACAGCTCTGTAGTCTGGAAGTCTGTGATCGGGGTGCCAACATGGCTGACTTCCAGTGAGGGCTCTCCTTCTGGCTTGCAGATGGCAGCCTTCTCATCCTGTGTTCTCATGGTAGAGAGAGAGTCTTCCTCTTCTTATAAGACCACAGTCCTGTTGGATTAGCATACAGTATACCAGACACTTTTCTAGGAAGGAGAATAGAGCAGATAATAAAATTAGAAAGACAATCCCTGCCCCCAAAGTGAGTTCATTTTAGGAGGGGGACAGATTGTGTACATGATGACATTTCTGTTATTTAAAAATAAAAGGGTAAACACATAGAAAAGCGCACACACACACATCATATTTATATAAAAATTGGAAAGAACAACCACTAAGATGTTAACTCTCCCCTGGTTGGTGAGATTATAGATATTTTCTTTAGTAAATTTGTATTTTTATGGATTCTTTTTGAAATAAAGAAAAATGAATTAATAGTTTTAAAGCAGAGAAATACATTTCTATATCTCCTTTCCCTTTTTATACAATAGGGGAAAGCACAGTTCTAATATTTACTCCAACTTTATTTCAAAATTGTACTATCACTAGAAATGACAGAATTTCCTACCAGAGAAGCACACACTTTAGGGACTTATCCCATTGACCAGTTTTAACTCATATAAAGTCACTGCACACAGACTGGTGTAACTAACAAGAAGCAGATAGCTGGGAATAGGTAAATCTTTCTTCCAAGAATAGAATTCAATTTGTGGTAATGACTGTGTGTTTTCACTGGCCCACAAAAAGCCATGAGGTTACCTTTGGTACTTTAGGTCTTTGATTTAGAGGCAGTTCTAAGCCTATTTTTCCCAAGGGGGAAAGGGAATGCTATTTTGGCAAAGACTGTGAAAATGAAGAATGTTGATTGTTAGGAGCAGATAAATCAATAAAGAAAACTATAGAAGAGAAGTTAAGAGTGCAAAGTAAAGAGAAGGCTATGAATGAAAGGTATCAAATACAGAAGTATGTGGTAAGTGGACCAATCAGTGGATCATCTCTTTAGACTGGCCCCCCAAAACCAGTTTTTTGTGGTTTTGATTTGTGGGGAGGGGGAACAGGATCTCTTTCTCTCATCCAGGCTGGAATACAGTGGCATGATCATAGCTCAGCCTGATCTCCTGGTCTCAAATGATACTCCCACCTCAAACTCCCAAGTACCTGGAATGACAGGCACATGCCACTGCAGCCAGCTAGTTTAAAAAAAAAATTTTGTAGAGACAGAGTCTCACAGTGTTGCCCAGACTGGTCTCAAATTCCTGGGCTCAAGTGATCATCTTACAGGCCGTCCCAAAGTGCTGGGATTATAGGCATGAGACACCACTCCTGGCCCCAAAAATCAGTATTAATGGATGATCCGAGAAGGAGTCAAAGGACAGCTTTTATTCGTTCATCTACATTCAGATGACTATACTCAGAGAAAATAAGAATAAATAAACAAAAGCAACAGACATTCACCCAGAAATTTGCATATTGTCAAATTTACATAATCATGCAATAAAATATTAGTTTGGCTTTCACCAAAAACTGGATCAATTATTTGTACTGATATAGATACTAATGTACACTAAATACAATAGAAAGTTATGTATTAAGACATAACAGACTCACATTCATGGATTATGCATTGTATAAATGCTTCATTGTTAGAACCAAAGCTTCCCGGGAAAATAACGTCCAATTCCCTTTGCAATAAAATCCTACTTATATATATTAAGAAACTTCTCAGACCTTCATTCTCTTTTGCGTAACCTGAAAATAACTTTATTGTTTTCATTTTTCTGCATTCCTTGCGTGAATTTCCACTTAGCTGAATGAAACAAATAATTTACTTAGTACATGTGAGGCAGCCAATTGTTATATAAAAGGAAAGACTATACATTTCTGATATCAAAGGCACTCAGGTTTTGGAAGTTATTTGTAAAAGTTTAAAAGAGGACAAAATAAGAAATTGTTACAAAATCAACGAAGTTCATTCAGTTCCAGCACATAATCACTTTTTAATGTCTGTTTTGCACTACACATTGTGCTATGTTCAGAAAATTCAAAGATGAATACGATATATTCCCTCTAAAGGATATGTATTAGGGGATAAACTGACATGCGAAATAAACAGATCGTTTCTACATAATGCACAAGTTCTATGATAGAGGCATCAGTTCAAATTATAAGTATCCAAACAAGGGAATTTAAAAAATCCACACACAACACATTTTCAATCAAACAAGAAGCAAGGGAGATATACAGTGTTTTGTTTTGTTTTGTTTTTTAATTCTTGTAATAGACTGAACAATGGCTTCCAAACTATCCATGTGCTAATGTCTGGAAGCTGTGAATATATTGCAGAGCGGAGTTAAGGTTGCAGATGAATCGAGGATGCCAATCAGATAACTCAAATTAGAGAAACTATCTTGAATTATCCAGGTAGGCCCGATGTAAACATCCTTAAAATCTTTAAAACAAAAGAGAAGGACAGAAGGAGTCACAGTCAGGCAGAGGGTTATGACTACGAAAGAAAGGCACAAAGAGAGGCAGCACTGCTGGCCTTCGAAATGGAGGAAAGGGCCACAAGCCAAGGAATGCAGGCAGCGTGGAGAAGCTGGAAACACAGTGGAGACAGGTTCCTCCTACAGCCCTCAGAAATGAATGTGGCCTGGACTTCTGTCCTCAAGACCCATTGGATAACAGATGTGTGGCATTCTTTTGTTTTTGTTTTGTTTTTGAGACAGGGTCTCATTCCGTCACCCAGGCTAGAGGGCATTAGCGCAATCTCTGCTCACTGCAACCTCCACCTCCCAGGTTCAAGCGATTCTCCTGTCTCAGGCTCCCGAGTAGCTGGGATTACAGGTGTGCACCTCCACTCCTGGCTAATTTTTGTGTTTTTAGTAGAGACAGGGTTTCACCAAGTTGGCCAGGTCGGCCTCAAACTCCTGACCTCAAGTGATCTGCCCACTTCAGCCTCCCAAAGTGCTGGGATAACAGGCATGAGCCACTGCGCCTGGCCAGATGTGTGTTGTTTTTAAATACTAACCTTATAGTAATTTATGACAGCAGCAGCAGGAAACCAACATAACACCCAAGAGTGATGAGACCTACAGGATTCTATTTAGCATCCTAAGAAGTTTTCTGAATTTAAAATTTCTAAGGTCATGATCTACTCTAAGTTCTTTTTCACCTTTTCATTGTGAGCTTTTGAAAGAAGCACGGAGAGCATGGGGAAGGGAAGGAGAAACTCATGCGCATGTCCTAAGTGAGTACTGAGATGGGCACCTTTCCCTAGACTATCTCACTGGATCCTCCCAGAAAGTCCTGGAAGGATGATGTTATTATTCCACCTGCACAGATAAAGAAACGGAGACTCAGAATTAAAGATAAAATGCCAATGCACTCCTCTCAGACTGCAAAGCCCATGCTCAATGAACACACCAGGCTACTGCAAATAAAATCCTAGGCTCCAACACAAAGTGGGCTCAGGGGCCTAGGGAAGACCACCATCCTGCCCAAAGGCCTCTTTAGTCTTTGGCTAGCATAGACAAAAGAGACTATTTTCTATATAAATACCATATCTCATCAATACCAGGATTCACCTTTGACATAGTTTGTGATATGGTTAGGCTTTGAATCCCCACACAAATCTCATCTTGAATGGTAATCCCCGTAATCCTCACATGTCAAAGGAGAGATCCCGTGGAGGTGACTGAAGCATGGGGGTGATTTCTCTCATGCTGTTCTCATGACAGTGAGTGAGTTCTCATGTGATCTGATGGTTTTATAAGAAGCTCTTTCCCTCTTCACTCAGCACTTCTTCCTGCCAACTTGTGAAGAAGGTGCCTTGATTCCCCTTTGTCTTCTGCCATGATTGTAAGTTTCCTGAGGCCTCCCCAGCCATGCTAAACTGAGTCAATTAAATCTCTTTTCTTTATAAATTACCCAATCTCGGGCAAGTCTTCATAACAGTGTGAGAACAGATTAATACAGCTTGGATACTTGTCACCCCAAATCTCATGTTGAAATGTCATCCCCAGTGTTGGAGGTGGGGCCTGGTGGGAGGTGACTGGATAATGGGGGTGGATTTTTCAGTGAATGCTTTGGCACCATCCTATTAGTTCTCGTGAGATCAGGTTGTTTAAATGTATGGCAACTCTCCCCCACTCTCTCTCACTCCTGGCCCCGTGAGGTGCCTACTCCCCCATGAGATGTGTGTGTGCCCCCTTTGCCTTCTGCTGTGATTGGAAGCTTCCTGAGGCTCTCACCAGAAGCAGATACCACTGCTCTGCTTCCTGCAGAGTCTGCAGGACTATGAGTCAATTAAACCTACTTTCTTTATCAATTACCTAGTCTCAGGTCTCAGGGTTGTTCGTTTGTTTTTGAGACGGAGTCCCATTCTGCCGCCAGGATGGAGTGCAGTAGCACGATCTCAGCTCACTGCAAACTTCGCCTACCGGATTCAAGCGATTCTCCTGCCTCAGCCTCCCGAGTAGCTGGGACTATAGGCATGTGCCACCACACCCAGTTAATTTTTGTTTTAGTAGAGATGGTGTCTCACCATGTTACCCAGACTGGTTTTGATCTCTTGACCTTGTGATCTGCCCACCTTGGCCTCCTAAAGTACTGGGATTACAGGCATGAGCCACTGTAATATCCGGCCTCAGGTATTTCTTTATAGCAATACAAGAACAGCTTAATACAGCCCTTTTTTCTGTCTCTCTCTCTTTCTCTCTCTTTTTTTTTTTTTTTTTGAGGGAGGACCTCACACTGTCACCTAGGCTGGAGTGCAAGTGGTACAATCTCAGCTCACTGCAACCTCTGCCTCCTGGGCTCAAGTGGCCCACCTCAGCCTCCCAAGTAGCTGAGACTACAGGTGTGCATCACCATGTCTGGCTAATTTTTGTACTTTTCGTAGAGTGAGGACTTCACCATGTTGCCCAGACTGGTCTTGAACTCCGGGGCTCAACCAATCCACCTGCCTCAGCTCGGCCCCACAAAGTGCTGTGATTATAAGCATGCACCACTGTGCCTGGCTTAGTTTTTATTTTTAATTGAAATTACAATGCATCTTACGTTTATAAAGCCTTGCACGCATAATTGACAACATTTTTTCCTCCTTAGTAATAATTACAGTGTGTTTTACAGTACAGACTTCTTGGGG